GCCTTTTTGCGATATTGTTTAAGCAATCTTTTCTTTACAAAAGCAACTGGGGAAGGGGATTAGTGAATTGTTTTCATATCTGAGTATAACAAGAAATTTTAATATTCCAAACTAACATAAAATTCTCTAAGCTATAGTTACTACTGGCTGGAGTGTCTGAAGAACACATTGCATGAGGGGAAGGGACAGTTAAAGCCTAAAAGATTCACACTGAATGTCAACGACCTTCCTAGATGTAAAAAGACCTAGGGAGCCTTTGGTCTCTCCTGCAAGCTTTTGCTCACTTGCTAGGATTTTTTTTTAATGTTCTCTGGCATTAATATATTACCACAGAAACAAAATGACTGCTTATTCATAAAGTCTTTGATTCTACAAATATTTACTGAGCACCACCTTAAAAGGGATTTACTGCTACTTAATATAGAAGATGCAGAGAGGAGAGGACAAACTCCTCAGGGGGCTTAGATGTGGTAGGAGGGAAATGTGTCCCAGTGGCCACATGAGCTGGTAAAGGGGTTAAGCTCCATCCGAGGGATCCACAGGAGCCCCCATGATGGGGCGCTGCTCTTGAGTTGTCACTGAAAGCTGTCTGAAGGCGGTCACACGTGAAATGAACCTCCAACAATGGGCAGGCTGAGAAGAGGCAGGGGTGGCAGCAGGACATCCAGGGGGAGAATGCCACAAACAGGAAGTTGGCCTGGGTTCAGGGGACAGTTCCCACTGAACAAGCAAAGGTGACTTCGTGGGTTCTTATATTTTAAAGACTGTAGACTGTTTCCCAGCTCCCCATAAATTCTAGGTACACCAGCTCTGTTTCACAGATGCTCGAAATCAGGAACAATATTAGACCAAGCAGAATTCATGTTGTCCTTGTAACTTCCAGCAAAAATAATTTTAAAATTTAAATATTGCCACAGATGTTATTAGACTCTGATAGAATTACTTTCTACTTTTCTTGCTTGTTTCTTTTTATAATTGAATTCACGGGGGAAGTCTTTTAAGGCAAAGATTTCAGTGTTTCATCTTTAATGTGGAGCTCAAATGCCGCAGGTCATGAACTTGCTCCCACCTCTCCTTCCTTCTACCGTACTACCTACCATGGGACCCGTAAGGTCTGTTTGCACAGTCTAACTGGCCCAGGAAAAATTAATGCTTGTTTTTATTTGTTTCATTATTCTCCACTACAACCTTGAATTGTAATGCTAAATTTGGATGATGCTACAGACAAAACTGGACTTTGCAAAATAGTCTACACTTACCCAGGTACTATAGTTTTCCAGCCAGAATGGAATTAAACTAGGCCACCCTCCTGTAGTCAGGGCTTCACTGACTCATTCTGCACTTGCTGTGGAGAGAGTGTGGTGCTATGGAAAGGGTGGGAACTGAGGTGACCAAGACAAACTCTTAGAACTCTGGTCTCAATTTCCTTATCCATGAAATGAGGGGAAAGGTCTTCTCTGTGCACTCTAAAGGACTATCATAGCCCTGGCCGGTGTAGCTCAATGGATCGAGTGCCACCCTATAAACCAAAGGGTCGCCTGTTCCATTCCCAGTCAGAGCACATGCCTGGGTTGTGGGCCACGTCCCCAGTTAGGGTAGCAGAAGCTTTCCCTCCCTCTCCTTCTCCTTCCCTTCTCCCTCCCTTCCCCTCTTTCCAAAATAAATAAATAAAATCTTTAAAAAATAATAATAATGTCTATCATAAGAAACAAATGCTAATTTACATGGCAAGTACTCAATACACTAAAAGCACTACTCCAGATGAAGTTACTGTTTTTAGTTTTATCCAAGAGATCTTCTGTTTATTGGGAAGCCCCCTACTGGGGACCTGGCCTGCAACCCACGCATGTACCCTGACTGGGAATTGAACTAGCGACCTTTCAGATTGCAGACTGGTGCTCAACCTTCTCAGTCACACCAGCCAAGGCCGTGCTTTTTCTTGATAGTCTATTAATACCACTGCAAAACCCTCTCCATAAATAACACTTAAATACAGTCTTCTTTTTGGTTCCTTATGAAATACATTGAAGAAGAAAAGTGGGGGAAAAGAAACCTTTATTGAGCATCTGCTGTGCCCAGGGTCTGTGCTAAGAACTTTGCACCCACCACCTTACTGATACCTTCAGAACCATCTCTGTTTTACAGAAAAGAAACAGGAAGTTCAGAACGACTGGGTGACTAGCTCGGTGTCACTCAGCTAGCAAGCAGCAGAGCTGGGGTGCAAACCCAGAATCCATCTGACTTTAAAGCCATTCCTGCCGTTTCCCTCACGTGAACTGCCTCTCTGAGCAACACATCACAGGAAAATGATGCGTCCGACATGTTGTAGCGTAAAGCTGTAGAACGGGTCGAACCCATTTCCTTCTGCCTCTCACACTTTTTGGATGACAATTTCTGTGGGGAGAGGAGACGCAGGCCTGGTCCTCTGAGAGGGCCCGGGGCATTTGAACCACTCTCTAGTCCCGTAATGACCTCAGCAGGCAAATCCTTTCAGACGTTTGTGCTGCTGGGCAAATGCAGGGTGGGGCAAAATAGGATTACAGTTGTTTGTATAGAAAATTATGTAATAATTAATAAAACATAATGCAAGAATAAACTCTGTTTCTTGTCCTCACAACTGTAAACCTACTCTGCCCCATCCTGTGTTCTGTTCCCAGCTCAGTAAATACAGTGACCTCAGGAGCCTCAGACCATGAGGGACTCCCGTGCCCTTACCACTAGTCACTCTGTGAGGCTCCAGACCTCTTTCCCTCAGTTCTACCATGATTAGATTCTCCAGACCGAAAGGGCTTCCACATCCAGCTGGACTTATTTTAAATCAGAATGGCCCTCAGAAAATGAGGACACAGAGGGCTCAGGCATATTTCAAACTGAAGACCTGGCTCTAAGGACCTCCCAAGATGTGGGAAGAAGCTGACCTTCCAAAGTTTTATCTGGGCATCTGGAGACTGAGCTGAGATAGCCAGCCTTTGAGAGGCCGTCTCCGAGTTTACGTTTCCCCCTGTTAGTAAAGGCGGAGAAGCCGGCTCTAGGACACACAGCACCTCCAGGGCGGTCAGACCTGCCCTGCCTGTGAATCCTTCAGCGCCACCACAGTCCCTGGTCTTCTGCTGCTTTCTAGTCAAGAAGAATTCGACCCTGCTCTTTCCTCCCATTTTTGGATAGTGGCAGGCCTTTGTTCCATCACGTGATTCTCTGAGTGGATCACACACCTAGAGCATTACCCAGAAACCTCTATTCTTGTGTACCCTTTGCCTCGACTTTTCTATTCGTGATTCTGAGACATTTCCCTCCTTTTTAACTCCACCCATTTCATTAAGTAAATGGAGGAAGTGGAGGGAAATTACATTCTTGTGCTCCTTCCAGCGGCAGGCGTAGTGGAGGGTCTTCATGGACGTGGACTTATTTATCCTTCACAAGGTCCCGGATAGGAAGAGAAAGTCAGGGAATTTAAGGATTTCACTAAAGTCATCAGCTATCAAGTGCTATGGGAGAGTCAGGATTTGAACCCAAGAACTTCTGGTTCCAAAGCCACTTCTGGTCCCTTTTTCGGTACACAAAGCAGCATCTGCAAAGAAAACTAATAGCTGTGGCTTAAGACCCTTGCCTGAAAAGTGATATAAAATTCTTCATATGTGGCAGCTCAAGTTAGTCTCTTCTCTTTCAAAGACAAGTTTCACAATGCAAACAAAATCTCCTCTTCCCAGAGAGAGACAGGGCCTTCTGGACTCGGCTGCACGCTTCTGTTCGCCTGCGTCCCAGCCGAGGTCTCCGGATGGTTTAAGGTGCTCTCAAAAGTTACGATACATTTCATATCAAGTCTTTTCCTTCTAAAGTCAAACTAAAATGAGATTAGACCAGAAGCAGTCTTTTTAAAATAAAAATAAAAATAAAAATAAAAAAGAAGCCTCCCCTGTCCACTTTGGGGAAAGATTTGCTTGTGTCTCAAAATTCAACAGCACAAGTAAGTTTGGGAAGCTCAAGCGTGTGGGTTTGACATGTACCTCTAAGAGCCAGAGTTTCAATGTTGCATTTGTTTTCCAGAAAAAGGAGCTCAGCATAAAATTCAGCTAATAGTGAGGTTTTGTTGGGGGTTTTTTTGCATAATAAAAGTCGTAACTGAGCAACATTAGCTACAGACACTCCTCCCCATAAATCCATGGAGACTGTGAAAACCATTTCAGGGAAATCCAAACCCCAAGTCGTCTTTGGCAAAGGGTAATTGGCCATGATGGTCATTAAATAAAGAGAATACTGAGTAGCTGCTCACAAAGCAGCATCTGCAAAGAAAACCAATAGCTGTGGCTCAAGTCCCTCGGCTGAAAAGCGATACAAAATTCTTCACATGTGGCAGCTCAAATTAGTCTCTTCTCTTTAAAAGACAAATTTCACAATGCAAACAAAAACTTTAAATCATATGCTTTTGACTTAATAATCCTCCTCCTGAGAATTTATCTCAAGATTTCCTTGAATAAGAATAAGATTATACATATTTCTTGAGTCATAAGAATAGGAAAACTATATATAGTTCTATAGCAGCATTATTTGTAACTATGGAAAACTGGAAATACCCTAATTTTTTAAAATAAAGGAGACTTAGTACATTTTGGTATCTTAAGTCTTTGAGATACTATGCAGCTATTAAGAACACAGCTGCAGGGCAGGGCAGGCCGTTCCGCGAGGAGCACAGGACACAGGGATGCAGGTGTGCGGCGGCTGCAGACATGCATCCCGTAGACAAAGACTAGAAGGGGACACAGGCGAGAACAGTTATGTTAGTGTGATGAGGTCGCAAGGTTTTAACATTAAAATTTTTTTTTGTAATGGCCATATTCCATTTTAGGGGATTTTTCTCCTTGTTTTTCCAGCTGCAACTTATATAAAATTATTTCTGAATTATTTTTGGATTGGGAGGTTATTTTACAAAGGGACATTCTAGCCACATGTTAAACATAGAAATTAGTATTCGCAAATACTAATGCTGTTGTTTTCTTTTGCAGTGAAGGGAATTTGGCTACAAAGCAGGTTGTGTTTCTTCAGAGACCAGTTATATGGAATTCAGCGGCTCAAACACCAGAAGTGAGTAAGGCTGATACTTTATGAACTGAGTGTTATATTGAAGCATTTAATCCTGGAACTCTCGTTCTAATTCTAAATGGCGAACACAGATGGGAAGTGTGGTTTTGATATGGAAATAGTCTTCTGAACCGACATAGAACAAGGGAAGTGCGCAGGCGGCCAGGCAACAGGAGCCAGTTCCGAAGGGGACCAGCACCCGCCAGCTCAGAACATGCCCCTTGGGCAGAAGGGTTATTCTGAGCGGAAGGCAATTAGGAAACAGCAGACACGGAGGAGCACTCCGCCCTCCGCCTTTCTGAGAAAAAGCGGGGCAGGAATTTCTTTGTATAAAGTGACATCGACTTCCATTTGTAAAGTCAGCTCCTGGTCCTGTAGCAGGAAGAGAAGTCGGCCAGCAGAGGCGACTGTCACTGGGGACAGCACTGACGCACAGGCCTGCTGAAATAACCACCCTCCTCCCTGGTCTCCCCGTGCCCTTGCCTGCCCACGTTTTCTTCCCCGAGCAGCCCGAACCCCTTCTGCGTTGTCTGGTCGCTCCTCTACAGCACATCGCCCTTTGTTAAAGAGGCGTGTAAGCCCCCGGGGTGCTATCTCTGGGTTTTCACCTCCTCTCTGTGAAGCCCCCATGCACATCCAAAATAAGCCTTTTCTTCTGTTAACCTGCCCTGTGCCACTTAAATCCGTAGTCACTGAACCTAAGAAAGTAGAGGACGTTTTTCCTCCTTACGGTTCTCAGTTTTGCGAGTGAATGTGCCGAATCCTGCAACCGATCTGTGCGATCTTGTCTGTCGTGACCTCTGTCAGTGCTTTCATGTTGTCTCCTCAAGTTCATCCATTTTTAGCTCTGTATAGTTTCCTTTTCTGTACGTTGTCAATGTAACAGGCGTCCAAACCTGTACAGACTTTTTACAAGTTTATCTAAGCCAAACTGATGACAGTTGCTGGGAAGCAAAATCTCAACAGATTGAGGAAATGCTCCAGAGAATGGAAAATTTGCAGCTTATTTTATATGTTGCAGTCAAAGGAGGAGGCCTGAGGGGGGTTGCGTGTCATTCGGCGGAGGCAGGTCAGGGAGGTGCAGGAAAGCAGAGCGGGGAATCTCTGAGGCTGGACAAAGGGTGGAATGGAGGGGCACGTACTTCCTTTACATTGGCAGGTATGGGGTAGTTACCAATGGGCATTCACAGCACACAGAGGCGGCGTGTGAAGATAACCATGAGGGGTTCAGTGGTCTTGTGCTCTGGTGGGAGACTGTGCCCTGAAAGGTCTGCAGGGGAAGGGGGATTACTCAGACATTCCAAAGGTGTGCTATTTTAGACACAAAAAGACAATAGACAGGCTCAGTTAAGGTAAAGACTGACGTTCGTTATGGGCCTATATGTGACTACCCACTCTGACCTGCTTTTAATGAAGAAGTTTTCACTTTAAACAATCCTGTGTGGTTGCTTCAGTCTCTGAGTTTCTAAGGCCGCCTCGCAGGCCTCCCCTGAGCCTGTCAGGTTTACTGTGCAGCCCCTTTTTTGTCCACAATATTAAAAAATATTGTTTTAAAAAACATTAAAGGTTGTAAACTAGCAAAGCTAGACTAACAGTATACAGCATAGAGCTAAAAGTGGTAGATTTTGTATAAAAAATAATGTAATGATTAATCGATAACACAAGAATAAACTCTGTGCTTTGCACACTCACAACTGGAAACCTACTTTTGCCCCACCCTATATATAATACCGCCATACTCAGATGTCTCACATTTATTTGAAAAAGAATCTTTGCATTTAAAAAATGAATGAAAGCATCCAGCTGGCTTCACAGTCAAGCAGGTGGAGAGGCAGAAGGGTGAATAGAAAGGCACCTTCCTGCAGCAGGAAAGCAGAGCCACCAGGTCCACGGACATTAGAAAGGCCGCCTGGGAGCCCATGGGTGAGCACATGTGCGTGCACAGGCGCACACACACACACACACACCACTTCCAGTGAAGATGGCTCAAGTTCATAAGGTCATTAGGAAATACTCGGTCAAAAAGAACCAAAGGCAGGTATATGCAGAGAATGGCTAGAGGAAGTTTTCATTCTTCTTCCCTCACCCAGAGCACCTTTGCACCGCGCTACAGCCTTTTCTCTAAAAACAAAAAAGTCCTCTACAAGTAGTCATCGTCTCTGAGGAAAGAGCAGCAGAATCGACAGCCTCTTGAGATTCGCTGACTGAAGGTCATGGAGCTGGTGCATGTGAGGGTGACAAGAACCAAAATTCAGCTTCCCCACAGTCTCTCCTACTTAGTTCTCTGATTCCCTGAAAATATTAAGGCCCTTTTTGTTTAACTTTAAATACTAGTTAGGAGTCTAGTGGTAGCTTTTCTTTAGGTAATCTTTATATTTGCATTCACTGTAATATAAATATAATATACTGGCTCATTTATATATAACAGCTTGTATCAATGAGAAGCCCAGGAATATTTATAGCTTAGAATTCTGCTTCTAAGTAGAGTTTCTATTTCTTCCTTTGACAGGGTTTCATTTTCATAGGAAGAAATATCAGGATATTGAGATTATTTTAGGCAGAACATGTAGGTGGTTCTGTCTTCAGCTGAAGTAACTAACAGCTATAACAGAAAACTAACTTGTAAACTCTTTTCATTTTCTCTAGTGAAAACAATTTGTTATCTGACCTCAAGAAGGTAGTGGTATGATTGGAAACGTAGACTATTAATATCCCACAGAGCTGATTTAGCTATCTCATATGTGTTTTGTGACAGTTATATTTATGATAAGCCTTGAAAAAAATTCATGTGGTTTTATGTCCACATGGCACAGTTCTTTGATCGTGTCTTGAAATCAGTTGTTGTTTGGGAGAGGTTGATGAGGGAATTGCTTAATTTGCAAAGTTTTTTCGAAGAATTTTTTGAAGTGTATGGTTATAAAACCAGTTGGTAAAAATTTGATACATTACAACTGTTTCCCTGGGATTGTCGGTGAGTTCTCATTAAAATGATAAATTTCATGGGCTGGTAGAAACTGATCTTAGAGTTGGACACTTGAGAAGAAATTTCTTTCTTCTACTGAGACTAATGTCAAGATGTATAAGGCTTTCCATATTCAGTTGCACTCAACATAGAACCGTACCCTCACGTTAAACCCATTTCATGCCCCTGTTGGGGATGAAATTGAGAATTGAGAAATATGAAACTGAGAACTTCATAATGAAGTATACTGTTGGAATTTTTTTCTTCTAAAGTTATCAATACCTTTCCTTTTGAAATTTGTTTTGTATTTCACAGATGTTATATGCAATATTCTAGGTACCTTAGAAGCTTGAAACATGGAAAATGCCAATCCAAAATATTTATACTCCCATTTATGCCTCATTTTTCTTCCAACTATTGAAAAAGTTTGTTTTAGTAAAACTAAAAGCTTTTAGAAAATAATAGGAGAAAATTCTTCATGCAGTGGGGCTAGGAAAGAGTTCCTAACACATAACACCAAAAGTATAATGTATAAGAAAAATGATAAATTAGATTTTATCAAAATTAGCAACTTTGCTCTGCTAATAACAAAAGAAAATGAAAAGACGGGCTACAGCCTGAAGAAAAAAGATTTGTAAATCACACGTTTGACAAAGAACTTGTATTCAGACCGTATCAAGTACTCTCAAAAGTCAACAATAAGAAAGCAAACAACCCAGTTACAAATACTTAAAGACTTGGATGCCTCTTTGGTGAGGTTATGTGGGTGAGAAACAAGCACATAAAAAGACACACGAGTCATTAGCCTCAAGGGAAAGGCAAATGAAAACCATGATGAGATACCACCAAACGCCTATTAGAATGACTATAATAAAAAGTACTGACAATGTCAAGAATCGGCAAGGCTGAAGACCAGCTGGGCCCCCCGTGCACTGCTGCTGGGAACGCGTAATGGGACAGCCACTGTGGAAAACAGTTCGGCGGCTTCTTCCAAAATTAAACATACACTTACCATACGACCCAGCCCTCCCACTGCTGAGCGCTAGAAAAATAAAAACTTGTGTTCACACAAAACCTGCACATAAAAATGTCCATAGCAGTACCATTCATAGCCTCCAAGAACTGGGAACAATCCAAATGTCTCCCAAAGGAGAACAAACGACCGCACTACACTCACACAGCACAGCACTACTCGGAGGAAGGAGGGATGCACACGGTACCTCGGACTAAGGCATCCATCCTTCCTGATCAAAAGAAGCCAGCACTGAAAGGTTACAGACCGCACCATCCCATTTACATGACATTCTCAAAACGACAGAGCTATCGTGTGGAGAACAGATTAGTGCTTGCCAGGAATTGGGTGTTTGGGGAAGTTTGGGGGAATAATGGAATTGTTCCGTGTCCTGCTTGTGGTCACTCAAATCTGTCCACAGGTGCTAAAATGCATTGAAACACGCATTTTACATATGATGATTTAACAGTTAAATGTAAAAAGTTGTTTGCCTTAGGAGTCATACAGACTACGGTTTCTGTCTTTGTTCCTCAGAAAAGACTGTCCTTGAGTGATGGGCTTCTTAGGAAGTGTGATGAGCTTGTCGACCTTTCTGCCCTGCGCACAAGGCTGTGTAGTGTAGTAAAGTGAGGTTCTTGTTGCCGTGCTTTCTGTTGTCTGTTTTCATTTTTCTTTATTTGGGGGAGCAGCCTCTAAACGGATTCAAGGAAGTGAGCCATGCTGAGTAGGGTAAGACAGATCAGGATTTTACCTCCAGCTCTTAAACGTTCACAGTTTTTCTTTCAAGATCTCCTGGGTTAACTTTATTCCTTTTGAAGATTAAAGTAAAATTCATCATATTTTTTAGTACCTAAAACATCTCCACTTCAGTTCAATTCTCTAGCCTATTTCCCTCCGAACCAAAAGGTCATTTAGAAGTATTTAGTTCCCGGGAACTTGGAGTAGGGTTTCCCGTGAGCGTGCACACCTGCACGCTGCGTCCTCCGCAGTCTCCAAACGGCCGTGTCCTCGTCTGCAGAGGGTGCGCAC